TATGGATCATGATTTAACCTATTCATGTTAGCAGGGCAGAATTGTGAGCGCCTCCCACAAGCTGAGCACCGAGATGCGATGCAGCGATCCTGCCCAGCGCCGACTACAAAAGGCATCGCGTGAGGCTACGGGGATCGGAGTGAAACTGAGTAAGGGAAGCTGGGATGGGGCTGGCTGTAAATCTATTGCTATAGTGTACTGGACGTGTGTAATGTATATGTAGTGCATATATACAGCACACACCTCCACTACACTCCAGCAATAGAGTTACAATTCTCCACTGCTAACATGAATAGGTTAAACCATGATCCATAGTACATAACATGTAGTTGTACTATGGATCATTTAAAGTCACCTGTCCCTTAAAGAAAAGTATCGGTAATTGGTATCGGCAAGTACATGAGGGGATGTACTTCTACTTGGGCCTGAAAAAGTGGCATCGGGACATCCCTACTGTGCGTTACAGTGCAAGTAGTTTTATGCTGAAGTAAACTTTAGGTTTGTAACTGCATTTGTGTATTTTATTTTACAGTATGGTATTTAATCTTTTTTATACAAATAGAGAATTTTTTTTTTAAATCAGACAACTAGTCGATGAAAATAATTAGTTGCAGCCCTAGACAAAGATGTGTAGGTCTGGATGCATAGCTAATGAAGTGAAATGACGATTTTTTTTGGAAAAAAAATAAAATATAGCAAGCCCAGACCTTGTGTTAAGAAGTTCAGCACTGGAGCCTGTCAGATATTAATGCAGGAACCACATTAAAACATTTTCTCAAGCTAGGAGAGGGTTATTACTCTGAGCTATTGTCACTCCTTGTGAACCATCCTTGAAATGAATCTGTAAGGGCTTGTTCACACCAAGCGCGGAGCAGATCCAGACCAGAGCAGGTGCAGACCGGATCAAAACTGCGTCCAATGTATTCCTATGGTATTTTGACCTCCAGTTCACATCGCAGCGTGCGGATCCAGACTTTTTTTTTTAACCAAAACCGGTCCTAAACGCATCAAAAACGCGTCTAAAACGCATCTAAAACACGGCACAACCCACTACACTGCGTGTGCAGAAACCTGACCGGATCTGGTCTGCATTTGGTGTGAACAAGGCCTAAAGCAATTGTGTCAGGAACACCAAAGCAGCTGAAACTGATTAACAACAGGTGCACTAGATGGGCAACAATGAGACAACCTCCAAACAGCAATGGTTTTACAGGGAGGCCACTGACATTTTTTCCCTACTCATCTTTTCTGACTGTTTTTCATTAGTTTTGCATTTGGCTAGAGTCAGTGTCACTACTGGTAGCATGAGGCGATACCTGGATTGTCTTGGTTATATGGATAGGCTGTTGCATATGACACAAAAACCCCTATGGAAGTACAGAAAACCTCCCCTGGGGTGATAATGCTCTTATGTGCACCTGCAACAAAAAGGAGAATGCTAGAGGGTGTTAAAATGGAGAAACAATCCCCAGTACTCCTGCTTGCCACTAAGATAACTGTAGGAAGGAGTTAATAGGTTGCTGCTCTGCAGATCAAAAATTGTGCTGCAGCCCCTGCCTCCAAATCAGCTACACCGATAGTGGAAATAAGCGCATAACACAAAACTTGTGTTCGTAAAAGGCACTACAAATCCCAGCAGCCAACACCCAAAAGGAGGACCACCTTCTAAAAGGTTCCCTGCACTGTGCCCTTCCCACAGTATGGGAATAGAAAGAAGGAGACTTCCCTGAAGACTTCCAACACACCTTGGAGCAGTTCATGTCCAAACTGCTGAACGCGAAGCAACTGGCATGGCGGAAACAGGCTGCAAGGTGTAGCACTGCTGACCAAAGGAAGCCTGCTGGACCCTTCCATGTTCATGACGGCTTCTGGCTCCATCCCCCACCCACTTGCACTCCCTCCTTGGCATCTGGATGCTGGCGCCATGGTGTACTCAACTCCACCATACAGCCCGAGTGGGATACGGGATGAGGGGGGCCTCCGGGAAAAAAAAAAATTAAAAGAACACTTTTTAATCAGAGTATAGGTGGCCATACACATGCCGATTATCGTACGATAATCGCAGGAAATCCCGCGACCATACAATAATCTGCAGGTGTATGGAAGGCGTGCGACCGTTTCTACTGTACGGTCGCACGTCTTTTGTCTTACGAGCACTTTGGAAAACCAGCCGAAAAATTGTAAGATTTTGGCGGGTTTGTGGCGTGCTCGTAAGAGCACACTGCCTGCTCAGCATTGCAGTCATTGGAAGAACTCCGCTCAGTGGAGCCGGCTTGCGATGATCGCAACTTCGATGTGCCTGTCCAAGATGGGCAGATCGTACAGGCTTTTAATTACCTTACAACCATCGCAAGACGATGGTTGTAAAGTGTATGGCCAGCTTTAAGCATCAAGTCAATTAAACTCCTGGGATATTGATCAAGTCAGATAAGTAGCAGAGGGGGGATGTTACATTTCATTAACACCAAAAGCAGCTGAAACTGATTAACAACAGGTACACTAGATGGGCAACAATGAGACAACCTCCAAAACAGGAATGGTTTTACAGGGAGGCCACTGACATTTTTTCCCTACTCATCTTTTCTGACTGTTTTTCCCTAGTTTTGCATTTGGCTAGAGTCAGTGTCACTACTGGTAGCAGGAGGCGATACCTGGACCCTATAGGAGGTTGCACAGGCATGCCAACTCCTCCAGGATGTCACAAATACGTGCCATTGCCAGAAGGTTTGCTGCGTCTCCCAGCACAGTCTCAAGAGCATGGAGGAGATTCCAGGACACAGGCAGTTACTCAAGGAGAGCTGGACAGGGCCGTAGAAGGTCCATAACTCATCAGCAGGACCGGTATCTGCTCCTTTGTGCAAGGAGGAACAGGATGAGCACTGCTAGAGCCCTACAAAATGACCTCCAGCAGGCCACTGGTGTGGATGTCTCTGACCAATCAGAAACTGACTTCATGAGGGTGGCCTGAGGGCACGACGTCCTCTAGTGGGCCCTGTGCTCACTGCATGGCACCGTTGCCATTTGGTCGATTGTCATTGAACACCAGAATTGGCATGTCCGCCACTGGCGCCCTGTGCTTTTCACAGATGAGAGCAGGGTCACCCTGAGCACATGTGGCAGATGTGAAAGGGACTGGAGAACGTTATGCTGCCTGTAACATATTTCAGCAAGACCGGTTTGGTGGTGGGTCAGTGATGGTCTGGGGAGGCATATCCATGGAGGGACGCACAGATCTCTACAGGATATACAACGGCACCTTGACTGCCATTAGGTATCGGGATGAAATCCTTGGACCCATTGTCAGACCCTACGCTGGTGCAGTGGGTCCTGGGTTCCTCAACAGATATGGGTGGAGATACCCCAGAACACCATCCATCGTCTCATTAGGAGCATGCCCCGACGTTGTCAGGCATCCATACAAGCACATGGGGGCCATACAAACTAATGAGTACCATTTTGAGTTGCTGCAATGACATTTCAGCACAATGGACTAGAATGCTGCATCATTTGTTCACTTTCCATCAAACGATGTGGCATCCTTTCGTTCCTAACACATTAACCAGTCCAGTATACAGTTTGATATCCAGCATTATATTTTTCCCCATTGAGATCTGTTGCATTTTCAGAGGGAGAGAATATATACACAAAAATATACATATTTATATTAAAATTACAACTTTTAATCACTTAGTTTATGGGTTTGCACAGCACATGTACCTTTGCTCTTTTAAGGTCCTTATCGCCACCAAGCTGGGCCTCAATCAAATGGTCACAATGGATGGTTGAAGGCACTGCCACTCTAGGTAATCCACTGCTAATAAACTGCAGCATTGCCATCTGGGCCGTGGCATCCTGCATAGCAACTCTATCAGGGCGCAGACGAAGGTAAGTCTTGCCTCGCACAATGTCTTGCTTTACCGGATCATCAACATGACCATAAACAATCTTCTCCGACAATGTAAGGGGCCGGTCCAGGCTTAAAGAGTAATTGGTGAAATTAGTCAAAACAGTGATTAAGTGTCATCTTACTTGATACAAAAACAAACCAGTTGGTAGTTTAGGAATGTTGGATTTATTCTTGCCCTGGGTAACAGACATATTCATGCTCATATACATTTTGACCTACTTTGTAAAAAGTACTCTGTACCCTAAAATCCTGGAGCGCTCTTTAACCACTTCCCGGCCAACCGGTGTAATTAAACGGCCGAGAGCTCTCTAGATCTGAGCGGTCGTCTTTAGACGTCCGCTCAGCCGCGTGAAGAGCAGGAAAGTCCGAAAATTTTAAAACATGCAGCAATGCCCGTTAACAGCGATGCCGGCAGATCACTTGTATGAGGTCCCGGTATGTTTTCAACCCCTGTGACTTATTGCCTAAACAAGTGCACTCAATAAGAAGCAGGGGTAAACCACAACCATGCAAATGGTTATGATTTTCCTTTACAGAGCAGGACTTCCGGCTAGTGAAGCACACTGCAAAAAGGCTGAAAACATCTATAGAAAAAAACAAAATTGATAGACTTTTTCACTCAACTGCCAAGTTTCTGAATAGAACATTCACACCCTGTAAGCTTTGTTTGGGCAATCAGCATTTTGAAGATTTCTCAATTTCAAGTAAATGGGAATTCTGCCAAGTCGCTCGTCACAAAGTGGGTAAGTGTGCCCAAGAGATCAATGTAAAACTTAAAACACCAAGTGGAACTGTGAAAAATGAACGATTACATGAGGCAACAGGACAAGGTCTTAGCAAGCCAAAGAGCATCCCCCCCTTCCCTATGAGCTGTAAACTACTTAAGCATAGGCTGCAGCAAATCCCTGCCTGCTAAAGAGCCTAACTCACCCACCTCTACTGCCTACCCCTTGGCTTGGCCCTGTTCACATGTTGCTCATAAAAAATTAAAAAAAAAGGAAGATTTGGTAAAATCAGAGTTAGACTTACTGGTAACTATTTCCAGGACACCATATGAGAGAGAAGCCCCTCCAACAGAAACACCAACAAATTTTAAAAGTCCTTCTCCCAACCTGGTCAGTAATGGACGAGAACTGAAGGACCCAATCTGAAGTAAAACAAATGCAACCAAAAACAAAAATACACATCAAGGGCGGGAACCTTGCTGTGCTGGAAAGACTTCTGGAAATAGTAAATTTCACAAATAATTTTCATGTGCTGTCTTGGAAAGACTAACGAGAACTAACTAGACTTTGAGGGGGACAAAAAGCATAGAATTCTCCTTCCATCAGGCTGACCCAGGGAAATAGATACATGTAGACCAGGCGTATGAATCTTTCAGAGAAATGTGAAAACAAAAAAACCTGAAACCAACTAGAGGGAAAGTTGGTGCCAAAAAAAAAAAAAAAACAACTCAGCATGACTGAATAACTCAGCAGGACGTTAAACTAGCGAAATAGAAATCAGGAATAATGGACCTGATGAGCTTTAGAGGGACATTAAAGTGACATTAAAGTCACAATCCTCCCACCCAAATGCTGCTTTAAGATCTTACCTTAAATGATGCCTCTTGATCCGATCATCTTCTTTCCAGTAGTTTTCAGGAGTGCCTCCAGCGCTGGTCTCTGATCCAGCGCTGACTGCGGTGTTTTCTGTGTCCCACTGTGTCTGTCCAAGTGCACGCTCCCAAGTGCGTGCATTGAGTTACATTGTCTTACCTCTTCTCCCAGCCAAAGATCTCTACTGCACATACGACTGCCCCATGATCCTTCATGGCAGCTTCAGAATCTTTAGACGGCAGCGAACAGCGGAGACAAAAGGTAATTACCCATTTGGTAACTTATTTATTTTACTGTTTTTGCATATATTACAAAATATGTGCTGTAGCGCAAGGACAGACGCACTGCATAAAAAAACCTAAACTCTGTAACATTACCGACTTTCCACAACAGTTATCTAGGAAATCATAAGCGCATGCACCCACACACACCTTGAAAAATCCGCTCATCCTCTCGCCGGAGCCCCACGAGTAGCTTTCCATCCGGCCGTTGTAATTAAACGGTCGGCCGCTTTACATTCAAGCGATCGGGCATCTCTTGCGATCTCTTGTATTTGCAGCAGCTGTCACTGCCGTTGCCAGTCCCAAGATCTGCTGTGCCTGGTGCAGCTGCTCTGTGACAGGAGATCAAAGTGAGATCGGTACACGTTCTCCCTCTGATGTTCTCTCCGGTGCCCGAATGCAGGAAGTGATGTATATTACATCACTTCCACATTCTGCTGTCACTATCCAGATTCAGAAGTTAATGAAGCAGATCTATGCTTCTCTGGGGGTCCCTAGGTCACATTAGGAGTCTTGGAGACCATGATGTCTCAAGCGGACCTCTCATGTAAATTACCTATCACATAGGGAGCTTCTTAGCCCCCTATGTGATGGCAATAAAGTTAAGTATAAAAAAAATTACCAAAAATATGGGTAAGAATAAATGTTTAACATATCGTAGGGAAAAAAAATTTTTCCGCCTCGAAATTTAGGGTACTTTTTTCATTATACAGTAAAAAAAATAAACACCCGAGTTGTGATTATATACCTCCAAAAGAAGGCTCTACGTGTCCCTAAAAAATGGTAACATAAAAGGCTGTAGTCCAGTCATGCTGACTGGAGACATTTTTGACTGACTGGTGACACACCCTACAATTTTTCAAGCCCTGTACACACGCAGACACTAATGTATACAGAGAGGGATAGATATTAGGCATGTATATGTATATAGTATAAGTAAATGGCAATATCCATCCAACTCACAAAATTACAGTCAAGTCTTGGAAAAGCATCGCAAATCACCGCACAGGCACACACCTTTGACAAGCTCCCATTTGAAGCAAAACATGTTATGTGTGAGGTGGCTCATGCCTCTGCAGAGAAAAAAAAAGAAAGGCTATGCTTTGACCACTTGAGGCCAGGTGTTCACATCCCCTTCCTGGCCAGGAAATGTTTCAGTATTCAGCGCTGCGGTACTTTGACTGACATTTATTCCGTCATGCAAAGCTGTACTAAAAGTCATTTTATACCATTTTTTGGGGGCAGAGAGCTTTCGTTTGGTGGTATTGAATCACCACTGGGGTTTCTATATTTTTACTATATTATTAGGGAAAAATTACATTATAATACAATTACCCAATTTATGGGTAAAATATAAAAGACGGGGTCACGTCAGGTAAATAAACACCAAACATGTCAAGCTTTAACCCCTTCATGACTGAGGACTTGAAAATTACTTTAAACCCCCAAATAGTAAATATTTTCTGAAAGCCAAGACCCTGTAGAATAAAATGGTGGCAGTTACAAATTTTATGTTGTACAATATTAACGCAACTCCTTATCAAACACCGAAATTTTTGAAAAAATGTACTTAATTACCCCATTTGTTCAATATAAAAGATGGTTACAACGAGTAAATAAATACAACATGCCCAGGTAAAAAATTGTGTGCGTCCGTGAAACGGCGACAAAATTCAGTACCCCAAAAAGTCTAGACGACGCTTTAAAAGCCCCCACAGGCCATCAGTTTATAGATACCCCAAAATACTGGCCCTAGATTTATTGCTCACTCCGGCGTGCGCAGCGATACACAACACATGTAGCGCGTTCGTCGTTTTCATACGTAGGCACGTAGTGCTCGCAGGAGGCGTTTAAAAAAATCTTTAATTATCTTTAGATTTTTTTTATTTAATGTTAATTTTTTACTTTAATTGCCATCACATAGGGGGGCTTACAAGCCCCCCATATGATAGCAGATGGTGGTGACAGGTACTCTTTAAGGTGATGCTGGGGGTCCAAAAGCACCTTTGTACTCTAAATAAGCTATTGAAGATCGCACTTCAATAGGTTATAGCTGGGCTTTAGGAGCCCTGCACGGACAGCTATGGGACCGGAAGTGATGCAATCTGCATCGCTCCTGGTCCCATAGAACGGGAAGGGTATCGACGAACGGAGGTTCATCCATCTTCTCCCCAGCTTCCCGCCGACACCGAAGAAGCTGGTCCCGGACCCGTAGGAGGGGCAACGGAGCCCGATAAACACGGCGGGGGGACCCCTTCACCAGGCCGTAGAAGCGATCTGGCGACAGCTGAGTCACCAGAATCGCTTCTACTGTAAGGCCCCATTCACACTGAGCGACATGAAAATCACACGATTTTGAGCGATATTGCGCGACGAGCAAAAGGGTCATGTAGGAGCGACAAGCTACCAGCGACGAGCTACAAGCGATATTGAGCGACGAGATGTGAACAGCTCCATTGAAATGGATTGGAGAAGCTACATAGAGCGATATCGCGTGGAAATATATGAGCGATATCGCTGCAAAAATCGCTCGATAAATCGCTCAGTGTGAATGGGGCCTAAAGCTGACTGTCGGCTTTACAAGTTTAACCCCTTCGAGACGGGGCACATACACTGTACATCCCGTCACAAAGTGCCTATATGACTGGCCACGTACACTGTACGTGACGAGTTATTTAAGGCTCTTTAATGCCGGTAACCACTGATTCTCAGCAGGTTACCGTTCATTAATGAATACCTCAGTATTGATGCAGTCATTAACGAAATAGTTAAGCTTTTATAAAAGCTTCTTTCTTTCATTAATGAAAGAATGAAGCAGTTACATGCAAATACATGAGCGCTAAATAGCAATCCCGTATTTGACAGCTGAAAATAGCTGAGAGGTAGAGTGACTCACCTCCCTGCTATTGCTTTGACAGGTAGATAGCCCCATGTTTACGATACATTTCCGGCAAAGAGATACAATGTATTTATTTGCCTGAAATGTAACACTTCTGATCTAGGCACGATCAAGTACCATTTTTTAGCAGCCTCAGCACTCAATGAATGGGAAGCACTCAGTACAGAGGCTCCTCCCATTCATACTTACTATCAATAGTTTCTGAATGGGGAGGAGCCTCTGTACTGAGTGCTTCTCCCCATTGGTGAAATCTTGAATGAACAGGCTGCGATGTAAATCACAGCCTGCTCATTCATAACTGGGGACACATAGCACTAGGCTTACCGAAGGTTATCGAAAAAGACCCCAAACAGGGGGAGCCACAAAGAGCACAGTCCGCAATCACCTCCACGAGTCGCAGTTCAACAATGGCAGCCCGGGCGGGCATTTTTAACAGCAAACCACCTCATGACATCCCGCATCGCATGCCTTGGTCAGGAAGGCCCGCCCACACAAAAAAATTCACACAAAAGGGGGCCAAAAGTGAGATGACGGTCACCCTTCACATTGGTGGTGGTGGTGGGGGGGGGGACGACAATACCCTGCCCCATCATCAAAGGGGAACTTTAAAGTGCCTCAGCTACGCACACACACGCACTTCTAGTTGACCAAACTAGAATTAAGTATCCTAAACAATTTTCACAGATAGACGGAAACTATAAAAAGATTCCAAAGAGTTGGAAGGGAAACTTTCCCACACTTCATTATGAAGTACAAATAGTAAAATAAAGTGTACATACTGAATAAATCACACAATGATAGAGACTCAACAGTACATCAATGCCTAGAATAAAGAGGAAGAGAAAATGGGTTTATTGAGCAGCATCGGGATTATTGAACAGTATCCACTCACTAGGAAATTATAAAGAAAATTTTTCCCGCACTCAGAAACAGGGTCTCAATGCAAGCACATACAAAACATATTGCAGAACAGAGTAGTGCAGGAGTAGAGGAAGCAGGGAGAAAGCTGACCACAGGGTGAGGTAAGATGCTGCGTGCCCACAGACACACTGCGCGCCCACAGAATATATACATATATACATTTTTTTAGCACAATGGCCAAACAAAAACCATTAATGCTTACCGTTTACGAACAATGTCAATATTTTTTTCCACTTTCTCATAGTTGACATATTCATTGAGTTCAAAGTGGCTCATTGCAACTTTAGGTCTCTGGCACAGGAAGGATGAAATATGGTACCTCCGGGCTCCATGGCCTAAGGCTTGCTAAAACATAATTTATAGAAGAAAAAAAAATATATATAAATTAGACATTATGGGGAATTCTTAAAGACTGGTGCCAAGTTTTAACAAACAGTTTTCTTGTATCTGACAAATTGAGTAAATAGCCCCAAATCCATGAACATG